AAATTGATACACCTCGGCTTACCATCTAGCGGAAGGTTTCGGAAGGGTGAAAAAACATATATTTAATACTTGCGCCGGGTATTTAATGTTCGGCTCCGCCCGAACTTAGACTTTCTTACTTGTTTTTGGTTAAACTGCCTCAAAGACCATTTAAACCCTTTTTTAATATACTCTATTTTTTATAGGTCTCCCGAAAACCCCAAAATAAGTCCAATGGGGGACCCTTAAGAAATCGTTAGTATTAAAAAATGGTAAAATAAATAATTGTGTGTTATTACTGGAAGTCTCCTAAAGAGAGGGAAAGAATTTCCCGATCGAAAAACTTCTTCATTTCTACGAAAAAGCGTTTGCTCCATGGAAAACTTCATGAGCTTGGAGACCGTTATAAATATCTTCTTTTTTTTTTAACAGAAAAACACGGGGATTTTTTTTATTTCATTTAGATAGATCCTAGAGAGAGCTTAACATTTTACAATTTCTTTTACCATCTTAATGTACATACAAACAAGCATAACTACATATATATGTATATAAAACTGTCTGTATTAATATTTATATAAAATTACAGATGACGGGTACTTTTTCCATCGCTCTGTCTCATACTCACTTCTCGTAGGTTGACTGACTGAGGCAATGCAATGCGTACAACCCAATTCAAAATTTAATTTAATGGCTGTTTTCATTTTCAATTGTTATCCAATTGCAAGTGCATTATTTTCTATATAAGACATGAATATAAAATGCATATTCTTTAAAATTTCTGGCCCTGGAAGTTTGTATGTATTTTCACTTTTCATTCAAACAGTGTTTTGTCATTTCTTTATAAGCTCCACGTTCTCATTGCATAATGGCGATAAATTATACTTATGTGTTATGGACATTTTTTTTCTTACAATGCGTAAATCTACACATAAATACAATCAACATTTTCACATACCCACTTAAACGTTTTCGTCACTTCCTACCCTGCAAAAAATTGTGCGACTAATCTCCAGAGAGAGTATTCCGGGATTAGTTTCGATAGGGTACAGTTAGGCATTAAATATTCGCAACTAGTCTCATACGGGTATCATTGGAGATCGATTACCCTCGATTTACCCCCTACGGGGCCATATTTTAGATCAGTTAGATCCAGACTTAGAATCCCGGTCTTTACTTTTATTTTTTTTTTAAATCGACTAGTCGCCTTTTTTACGCATTCGGGTATAAAGAGAAACAATTAGTCTCTTCATAGGATATGCTCGAACAAAAGCATTCCATATAAAGGGATCAAAAGTGGTAGTAGTCGCATACTCCCGGATTTGTCGCATTCTCTGCAGGGTACGTACCCACATTTATGTACATATGTATGTGAACTCTTATAATTGTGTGAACGTATGTCCCTGACTGCCTGCCGCTTTGGGTCGCGCTATCGCATTCCATGAATGCCGCAGTTTTGCCGATATACAAGCAAATGATGTCATTCCCAAATAGAGCGAAACCTCTGGGGAGTTTTCGTGGATCCATATTTGAAGCTACCTTGTTTAGATTCACTCTCACTGATTCATCATGCATTCTGAATTGTAATTAATATTTTTTTATTTCGTTTTTTCGCTATTAATCGCTTTACCTCCATGAGGAAAGCCAAATGTTGTACAAACTAATTTGAATATATTCGCGATTTACTAATGAAAGGGAAATTACTGCGGCTGATCGACTGTGTAAAAGCTGTTATGGCAATGTGGTCCTTCAAATACACATATACATACATTTCCTGTTGGATTATAATAGCTACGAGTAACTCTTATTGAAACTAGATAATTCGCTAAGTACAATTTGTTTTAAATTTATATGACTTAATAATGAATCGAAAGGTTTTTAGACCGTTGCCTCGCAAAATCTGAAATCGTATTTGAAGCATCTGCGACAGTGATGTTGCGTCGTAAGTTTTAGTATCGCCGTGCGAATACTTTTCGGGCGGTATTCTTGCACTATGACTACCAGAATGAAGAGTTGCGGCTTTATGAGCCCAAGGAGATCCCTGGATCATCTCATATCTACCTTCGGCCAGTAAGGCCTTGCAGTTGCGCAAATCATAGTTTTCGCCCAAAGTTCGCTAGGAGCAGTCCACATGTAGGGAAAATTTGAGGTTGGTAAAAAACTCTCTGGAGATGCGCGTATGTGGAGAAAGAGCTCATTGGCGGCCTAGTCACACAGTGATCCGTGTTATCAGGAATGAATTCGAAGCCTTCAAAAATACTAGTGTGTCCAATTCCTCAGAAAGCTAAGCGCCTAGTGCCCCTAAGTCTGTACGCAGCCCTTGCTGCAGCAGCCTTACTTATGATGTCGACGGGCTGATTCAAATTAAGACTGAACGCAATCTGACTAGTGAGGTCCTCTCTAGTCCAGACGAGGACTTCATAGTGCATTATGGGCTTAGCTATGGTTTCATAAAGCCAGGAAATTGCTTTAGAAGCGATGCCCCATCTCTTACCAAAAGACCCTTGTAGCAGTAGACGGACACTGATATCTTCTTCACTTTCTTCTCAATGCTTTCACGGCAGCTTTTCATCTTCGTCATAAAGCACAAAGCGAAGTACTGCCATTGAAAGCTGAGTCACATGTGGTAGCTTATAGCTAATAGCGAACAAGGACGTTTAGGACCAAACTCCCAATAAGGGGAATGACCATTACCCTGCTTGTAATTCGTTGGATGGTGATACTGTCCAACGCCCTCGCGAAATTTCTGTTGCAAGACATGTGATTGTGAGCTTAACTAGGTCGGTTTCGACCCCAAACTTACCAAGTAATATGACGATTGCCCCCAGAAGCGCACTATTAAAAGCCTCTTGGCGGCGAGAAAGACTCATACAGTGAAGTTTTTATGTATCAAAAGCTTCCTCTATTGACTCAACAATTGTGTAAAGAATATTAGGCCGTCTCTCTAGGGATTGGAGCAGGAGCTATGAAAGTCTGATTTATCCGCAATGCTTGGCAAAGACGGGAAAGCTTTTGATGGACTTTGGTATAAACGTCATGGTAATAAGTCTTTAACTAAGATTGGAGTCTGCCTGCGGCACGCCACATCCAAAGTTCTTTCCAACTGAGTAGTTTTAATGCCGTCTGATCCCGATGGCTTCAGGGACTTGAATTAGTTTTTTCTAGCCCAAATAAGGTGAGGCTTATCCAGCAGGTCACTCCGCAGGCCGAAGCGCAATATTCTTTTGCCCCTTGTGCTGATTGTGAGTTGCATGTAAAGTGCGTATCGAGGTAAATTTTGAGTGCCTACTCACTGCTCATAGCCTCTTTTTCCGCCTTGTTCCTTAAACATCCCAAGCGAGCGCGTCTAAATCTATATGTTTCACGGCACCACTCTATTCCCAGTTTTCTTCATTTCGCACTTATAGATTGCCAATCCGTTTTTATAAAGTGCCCAATCAGAGGATATCACAGTCGTTTGGGCTCTATTAAAGAGTCTTTGTAAAAATTTCGGCAATTCTTGTTGGGATGTTAAAAGATCTTTTTCGTGTTTTAAAAACATAACTCTGTGGTTGGAATACATAAAAACTACTTAAAAAGCTCACACTTAAAGGAACCTGAGACGAATGAAAATTCGTTAGTACATCTGCTCCGCCTATGCTAAGTTCATTTAGTAGGGATATTTTAGAAAAGATTTATTTAAAAAATATCAAATAGTACATGCAATCGATAATATTTCAAAAAATTTCAGCCAGTTATAAATCGCTGTCCATCAAAAAATTTGCCGAAGAAAATAAACTATAAAATTGACTTTGCATTTTCATTAAATAATTGTAAAATTAAAAGGTCACCAAATTTATGGCTTGAATGGTGAAGGTCGGCCCCGCATGCACCTGCAATTCGCTTAAGTGGGTAAATCTTAAAGCGATAATTGACGAAATATTTATTTGCCATTTAACACGTTTTGCTGGTAACTAAGTAAAATCATTTACTATTAATCATTTGCAGTGGGTGAAATTTCCATATATTTGTACTCGTACACATGCACATGGCCACTGTATGTCGATATGCAAAAATATTATTTTCGTTTTCACCTTTCCGTTTTGTTATAAAATTAGTCACAAATAATTTTTGCAGCGAAGCGTGCAAATGAGCCGTAAATTCACTTTTCATTTTATTTGTGTATGTTTGTATAAAACAATATACTGTTGAATACATATGTACATACATAGATATGGTTGAATATTCGTAGGTGCATAAAAAAGCAAAAAAAAAAACAAGATTTTCATGACTCAAATGTTTGGCACTTGTAACATTTACCTACTGAGTGACTAAATAGTGATGTCATTCCTACAGTTGTCATTGTTGCCGGTACATCAAGTGCAGGTACGAGTACATATCCCTATGTACATATGTATGTAAAACATATTGTAAACTACAAAAAATTTGCATATTTAAGGTTGAGTGTTATTATAAATTATTTATTTATGTGCGTTATTGTCTTTTTGATATGTACATATGTATGTATGTATGTATGCATATGTATATATGTATGTTTGGTTGCGTAGATAGATGTATTTTCTAGGGATTCTCCTAGACCTACATATGTATGTATGAAAATATGTATGTGCTTTTGGACATGCTTATGTAAATATACATATATGTACATATGTATGCATGCAGGTGGCTCTGGTATCAACTATTCAATATTACTGTTCGCGCTTGGCCCAGTATCAGTGAAGCGTGATTGATACAACCATGGCTCACTTGCCAGTTGACTTGTTTTATCTCGTATTTTACTAAATCCTACACGTGATGATGTGTACATATCACTAATTAAAGGTGAAAAGGTGCCAAGTCCATTTAATTTTCAAAATTGAGTTTTTTGAAGGAGAATGGCAGGTAATACGAAATTACATAGATTTTTCGTCTCTCCTTAACAATTAAAAAAATGGACTTTTTCACCATTGGATGAAGATATTTTTTGTTTTTTGTTGTTTTACTTCATTTTTTTATCATTTTATGTTTCTTTTTCTGTTTATGTTTTATGTCTATTTATGTTTGAAATAGGAAAGTAGGATGAACGAGCGTCATTCCAAGTAGAATTTAGATATGTTGATATTTAAAAAAAAAATTTGGACGTGAGGGTTTTTTTTTTTAAAGAAATAAAAAGAGTGCGAGCATGCTTTTCTACTGATACTTCATAAATCAAAATCGGTATAGTTTTGGCCCAATTATTCAAGTTTTTCTTAAAACAAACTTTGAAAAAATTTTAAAAACAAGATTAAAAATTTAATTTTTACTATTCCGTTGAAAAAACATTTATAATATTTTTATGTAGATTTTTTAAACTTAAACTGTTTTGTCATCTGAGGGAAGTGGTTTCCAACAATTTTTTAAGAAACTGTTTTTATTCATAAACAAATCCATTTTTGGAGGCATTTTTAATACGTCCAGCTCACGTAAATCTTAATATTTTTTTCGAAAAACTTTGGGTGGACGACTTCAAATATAATAGATTTTATAATCCAAAAAAAAACCCCAACTTTTTTGGTGATTCAGACTAATATACATACATATAAATATCTATTTATTTTCTATCTATTTTCTTAATTTTAATTTTTAGGTTTTGATCTAATAATTATATATGTACATATATTTATTTAACGTTGGTAAAAAATACTATACAATCAATTTTAAAACATATATTTTCTTTGTCTACATGCATACATATATACTAGGGTGTTTTTTCGGCGCCCATTTTTTTTTTACTCCCACCTCGAAATTTTGTGGGAAATATTTAGAAACAAGTTCCCTGATCATTTTAGCCGTTCAAAACACACGTAAACTTTAATTGTTTTTCTTCAAAATTCTATAGCTCAGAGGAATTTTATCTTATAATCATGGTCAATGGTAGTTTTTCTTCAGAATTGAATTGTATACACAACTGGCTATAGTGACGTAACTCTAACTGCCACTAGCGAGTTAGTACTGGTCACCACTCCCAATATTTTCATGAAATTCCCGTTTTTTGCCCCTATATCGTAAATAACAAGAGCTACAGAAACATTGCGAATGATAGACTTGTAGGCCATTT